AACAACAACGAATAATTGGTTTTATATACCTGCAGTGGCAATGCCTAAATAAACTGGGAATTTTAAAAAGCGTATACTTACGGGACTTCTTGGTGGTCACATTGATGGTGGGAGAAAGAGGGCCAGTTCCTGCTGTGTTGAAAGAACTCACTGTCAGGAAATACTGAGTGTATCCTCTCAGACCGCTGATGTTAACCTTGTTCTGATTGGCAGACACTCTGACTTTGCCCATGGTCTCTGGTTTTGTATCGTCCTCCCAGTACACCACCTGATTTCAAGAGCAATGGAGAGAAAGCACAGCCTGTGGGATCTAAACCTCGCGGATATAATGCTACGGTGCCATTATGTTCAGTGCAGGAGAATTATTATACAGGAGTATTTCACTTTTTCCACACAGTGGGTTTGGGGTGACATGGATGAAGAGTTTCACAGAGGAATGTGTAATGTGTTCTCTGCGTCCTTAAAAAGGATGAAGAAAAGCCATTTCGCCCATGTGGAAGAGAGGGCCTCCTATGCATACGGTAAGAACAGGGTACCCTATTCTTATTTTCAAATGGAGCGTTTCCATGGGTACAGAGGGAACTTTGAGGTGCAGCGTGGGAGATGACAGGCTCTGACAGAACCCACGGTGCATTTCAAAACCGGACAGAGAGTCATTTCCATTTAGAAGAAGGGACGCACCTCATAGCCCAACACTCTTTCTGGGGAAGCGCTGAGAATGTGCCAGCTCACTTCAATTTCAGTGGCAGAAATGCTTCTGGCCCACACGCCGTCTGGAACGCCACTGGGCTCTGAGAGGAAAGATAAAAAGAGAAGAACATGAATACATAAAGACAGAAAAGAAGCAAAGAGATGAGAACAAAGGAGAAGAAAAGAGATAAGGAAATATGAGAAAAGAAGGGCCAAAATAAGACGAATAAGACAAAGCTAAAAGAGAAGAATCGAGATGAAACAAAATGAGACAACGAGAAGATGAAAATGTGACTGAAAGAATAGAGATTAGAAGAGGATGCAGTGACGAGAGATATAAATGAGACAAAACTATGAGAAGAGATGAGATAAAACGAGAGAAGACAGAAAAGACGAGAGAAGAGAAGTAGTAGGTTGGAACAAGGAGAGAAACTGAAATGAGACTGAAAAAAGAGAAGGGGAAAACATTAGACCAGAGAAGACTAGATGAGACGAGAAGAGACAAGAAGAGACAAAAAGAGAAAACAAGAAGATCAAGAGAAGCGATGAAATGAAATAAGACAGGACAAGAAGAAACAAGAGGAAGAAAGAGGATACAACGAAGAGACAAACTTGAAAGGGGTGAGATGAGACAAAAAGAGCGAAGATGACGCGAAAAGACAAAACAGAGAGAAAAGAAGAGATTAGAGAAAATAAAAAGACAAGAACTAAGATGCAAAATGGAGAAGTTGAAATGAGACTGAAAGGAAAGAGAAGAGAACAGAAAAGACGAGAATTGAAAAAATGAGAAGATGAAACAAGATGAGAAAAGAGAGAAGATAAGATGAGAAAAAAAGAGATTTAGAGATGGGAAGAGACTAGAGGAGACGAGAAGAGAAGAACTAGCATGCAACAGAGAAAAGACGATACAAGACTGTAAGGAAAGAAAAAAAAGAGACGAGGCAAGAGAAGAAGATGAAATGAGATAACACTGAAAGAGAAGAGATTAGATGAGACAGGGTGAGAAAAGACAAGACTATGAGGAGAGAAGACCAAAATGTGACAAGATTGAAAGAGAGTAGACAAGAAGAAAAGAGGATGCATCAAAGACGGATGTACCGAGACCAAACTGAAAGAGAATAAATGAGAATAAAATGAGAAGACGAGATAAGAAAAGAGACTAGAGAAGATGAGAAGAGAAGAACAGGATGCAACAAAGAGCGTAGCTGAAACAAGTCTGAAAGGAAAGAGAAGAAAAGAGACAGGAAGACAAAAAATGAAATGATGAAACAAGATAAAACTGAAAGACAAGAGATGAGATAAAACAATGAAAAAACAGGATGAGAAGAGACACAACTACAAGGAGAGAAGACCAAAATGAGACAAAACTGAAAGTGAAGAGATGAAATAAAACAAAAAAAAGACGAGATCAGGAGAACGGAAGACACAAGGAGACAAGAAGAGAAGAAGAAAGGTGCAAAAAAGACAAGACAAGACTAGAAGAGAAGAGACAAGATGAGGAAAAAAAGAAAAGCATAATCATCAGTGCACAAATCAGAGGCTGATGAAAAATAATTTATAAATGACTGATGCAAAATCTTTTGTCTCTAAATTACTAGCCTTTATTTTAATAGGATAGTTGAGTGACATAAAGGAACATTATCTGTACAGGAATTCAATTAATGCGGTAGCTTCCTGACACACCGCTGTCTGCCCGTCACTCCACACTGTAATAGCTCATCTCAAACTGATCCTAACTAGCTGAAAGATTCCCACACTGCTGAGCATGAGATTCCAGAGCTAAAACCACTTGACATTTACAACACAACATCACGTACAGCCATTATAGTACATGCTTTACTTTGTAGTTACTATAAAAAGATGGATTCTTGGACATTTAGCAAAATATAAAATATACTGTATTTCCTGTTAAAAAGGGTAAATTACTGCTAAAAGAACAGAAAACAGCCACCAACAGTGTTGGAAAACCCCATAAAATGATACAACATTACATAATCTAAATCTATATCCTACAGTATCCCGCTTTTATAAAATGAGCCGTGTTCTTTCAGTGCTACGCATAATTGCTGGTGCTAAAGGAATCAATTCCAGCCTGTTCTTTCAATGTTTTATGCACCTTACAATAGATGAATAAATACATAGCGAAAAGAAAAATCCATTAAAAACACTGCTAAATGACTGAAAAGGTAAGCTTTTGTGCGCTGCTCGTAATGCGATTGACAGTCTCACCATTCTCAGCCGAGAACACAATGGTAACGGGGCTGAATGGTCCCTGGCCTTTGGTGTTGTAGGCACCCACTTTGACGCTAAATGGAGAAAAGGGTGGGATGCTCTCGTTCCGGTACACGTAACGGGACTGGGATGGTATGGAGGTGACGGCGTGTGTCCAGTTGACCTCCCCCAGTGGCCGGAAAGCGATGATGTAGCCGAAACCATCTCCGTTTTGCAGGTCTTCAGGCACAGGCTGGGAGGGAAACAAGAAACTATAGTGATATTAAAACATACAGACCAGATCCAGCCTCAGGTTCACACCCAGCGCCTTTCCAAATCCCACACAGTTTTCGCAAAGTGATGCAACCTCTTGAGAGCGCAAATGAACCGCTTTCTAATATACAACCAAATTTGAATTGAATGCCATTACGGGAGTAAAGGGCCCAGATGGAAAACAGGCTTGGCTTTGACTGAGGCAATAAACACCCCCATTCAATTCCATTTAATTAGCCAAAACTATTACCTCGCACAGAGGGAGTGATAATATAGACAGATGACTTACCTCCCATGTTATTACTAGCTCTGACTTGGAGCCACCCCCACCTCCGACATCGGTGGGGGCCGTGTCAGGAACTGCGTACAGAAAAACAAAGAAAAAACAGCCATGTTTTCAGTACAGCGGATAGATGCAGCCCCTGCCTTCCTCATTGTTGCTTTTCTTTTTCTTTTACTCAAAGCCTCATTAACAAGTATCAAATGAAACAAAGCTCCGGTCCCTTAGCAACTGCTTTTAAAAGATTCTGTGGGCAGCATCTCAGTTAACTGGCTTTGTTTCTAGTGAATTTCACCATTTGCCAAGAGTCTCTCAACAATAACGCTCGAAGAATTTGTTCTATAATATACAAAAAGGCACTTGAGCACCGAAATTGTATCATTTCATCATGGGACGTTTGAAGAATATGGGCACTTGAACATTAGTGGATTCAACCTCAGACAGCACGCCCACGGGCCGCCTACAGTCGCATACTGACCATCTGATGCAAACCACACACAAAACTGGATTGCGCTTTCTCGATCTGGCAAGCTCTGTTCTGATTGGCTGACTAATTTGATGGGTATTTTGCGGACCCTTTGAGGAAGTTTGCCATGATTAAATCAGATCAAGAGTACGCAGAGCAGTTCTGTCTGTGAAATAGTCTGTACTTAATACTTCTGGAAAGGCAGAAATTCTGATCTAGGAGTAATTTCGCTTCTGACAACTTCTTTGTTTATCGGGTCAAAGAAAATTGCTAACAAAACTGTAAGTTAACAAAAGATGTTTTGATTGTGTGTTTGAATGTAAAGGGGTCATATGATCCGATTTCAATTCTTCCTTTCTCTTTGGAGTGTTACAAGCTCTTGG